AGACACGAAGCTGTCACAGGTGCCCACGCAGCTTTCCGCTAGGAGAGGATCCAAAATTCTTGCGACGAAGTGGGCCAAGCTCAACATCGTCAGAGTTCTGCGGCGGGACTTCGGCCCGTCCTCCAGCCGTGAACTGGGGTTCTTTGGTTTAGGGCTTAGGGTTTGGTTTAGGGTTTAGGGTTTAGGGTTTAGGGTTTAGGGTTTAGGGGTTTAGGGTTTAGGGTCAGTCAATCCACCATTGTCGGGATATGTAGTCAGAAAAACTTTGCATTTTTTCCTATGATAGCAAGGAGCCCAGCGAAGCTGGAACATCCATTTGCCTGAGCTCTGGAGACAGAGCTCTCAGACCCAGAGACTCCAATATCCCTTAATTAAGGAATAGACCGTAAATCTTATGAGGGTTCCTTTTATATTTTAAGGTCTATTCAAGTCTATTCCTTAATTAAGGGATATTGGAGTCTCTGGGCAGACCCCCGGGGCATTCAGCAGAAAGACGCCTGCGTGCACTACTCCTTGAAGTCCCGGACTACGGTTCATGATATATATATGTATATACTGCATTACCTTAAGGACCCGAAACTATGGGAATTATGGGTATATTCCTGATAGCTATGGGTAATGCAGGATTTCTATCATAAACCGTATGAACTCATGAGTCCGAACCCTTCTCTCCCAACCCTTCTCTCCCCCGAAGAGCGTCTTTGAAGCTCTTGCTAGCTTCTTCGGTATCTTTGAAGCTCGCCGACTTGTCTTTTCGGCCTGTCCGCGCTAGTCTTCTCGACTGTCGTGCTTCCTCGATTTTGCCTAGTGTAGAAGCTTAAACAACTACAAATGTCATTATTTTTTGGGGTTCCTGTTGATAACTCTACTATAAAGGAACCCAAAACGCTGTTCTACTTATGAAGGCCCCCCACATTAAGGGCCCAACCTTCACCGTCGAAGCCTTCTTGTCTAAGACCCTCTCACGCCGAAATGCAGGAGTTTTCCCTTCAGCAGAACCTTAAACCCTCAACCCTACACCCTAAGCCCTACACCCTACACCCTCAACCCTAAACCCTAACCCTAAACCCCTAAACCCCTAAAGCCCTAAACCCCTAAACCCCAAAAGCCCTAACCCTACACCCTACACCCTCAACCCTACACCCTAAACCCTCAAGCGGCTCAGGTGGGCTTGCTCCAGCTTCTCCGAGTCGGCTGCGTCTGCTGGTGCTGCTGGAAGCGGTTTTGGGGCTTTAGGGCTGCAGGGGTTGAGGGGTGTGGGGGCTTAGGGGTTTAGGGTTTAGGGGTTTCGGGGTTTAGGGGTTTAGGGTTCAGGCGTTTTGGGGGTTGATGCAAGCAGTCACTGCGGATGATCCGGGCGAGATGCAGGTCTAGGCGTTTAGGAGTTTAAGGAACCCTAGGCCCTAAGCCCTAAAACCCTAAACCCCTAACCCCTAAACCGGGTTAAGGGTGTAGCCTTTAGGAGTCTAGGGTGAACCCAGAACCCTCAAGCTTTGGGAGCCGCCTGAGACTCTACAACTGTAGTAGAGTATACCCCAAAAGCCTTACTTTGCTTCCTAAGGCCCCTATACTCCTACATTACTACAGCGCCCTAAACCCTAAACCCTAAACCCTAAACCCTATAAACCCTATAAACCCTATAAACCCTATAAACCCTATAAACCCTAAACCCTATAAAGCCTAAACCCTAAAGCCTTTACCCCGACCTCCCGCCAGGTTGCGTCGAGGCGAGACGGCTGTGGATGCGGACAGCTCGCGACCCAGAGTTTTGGCTGTGGATCTGGGAATAACCCAGAGAACCCAATACCCCTTAATTAAGGAATATGCCTCAAACTATAGGGGCGTCAACATTATGATTTAAGGTATATTCCTTAATTGAGGGGTATTGGGTTCTCTGGGAATAAGCCCGAGGTGGGAAGAGTGAGAAATCGGATCGCCCTCCTGGTCCCTACTTAATGTAGGGGCCTCCATAATTGGAATAGGGGTTTTGGGGCTCCTTTAAGGGGTTCCTTAAAGGGTTCTATAAGGGTTTAGGGTGTAGGGGCCTTAGTAATTGGAATAGGGTTTGGGGGCATATTCTACTAGAGTTATATGAAGGCCCCCCCCAAAGCCCTATTCTAATTGTTAAGGCCCCCTACATTAATTGTAGCATAGCTGGCCTCAAGACCTCATTCTGATTATTAGGCTCCAGATAGTAGCAGCATGCAGTACGCTTGCAAGCCTTGTTTCAGAACCTTTGCGATCTTGTCGCTTCTTCGTGAGTTCCTTCTTCTGTTGGGCTCCTAGACCCCTAGACCCTAGACCCTAAACTCCTAAACCCCTTTACCCTAAACCCGAAACCCCTTTATCCTAAACCCGAAACCCCTAGAACCCTAAACCCTAAACCCCTAAAGCCTGAAGCCTAAACCACAAACCCCTAAACCTCTAAAACCTAAACCCCTAGAGCCTAAACCCCGAAATCCAAACACCAAAACCCTAAACCCCTAAATCCCTAAATCCCTAAACCCTAGACAGCTCAAAGTGTCTCTGGCCGCTGCCCAAATCTGCAGCTTCCGACTGCCGTCAGCTTGAGGGAGAGTTGGAGACGGCCTTAAAACCCTAAGGTCTAAACTGAACCCTAAACCCTATAAACCCTAAATCCTAAACCCTACATAAGCCTTAAATCCTTAACCCTATAAGCCCCAAATCCTAAACCCTATAAACTGAAATCCTCAAGCCCTCAATCCTGAACCCTTGAGCCGTCACTTCCTCAAAACCCTAAACCCCTCCCCCCTAAAGCCCAAACCTTAAGCCCTAAACCCCGAAACCGAAGCCCTAAAGCCCCCAACCCCTCAGCCCTAAAACCTAAGCGTTCGACCCCACACACCCTAAAAGCCCTATACGTCCCCAAAATCCCCTGCACTCACCGAACCCTAAGCCTTGAAGATCCAAAGCGTTAAATCCCCAACCCCTAAGCCCCTAAACCCTAAACCCCTAAACCCTAAACCCTAAACCCCAAACTCCTAAACCCCTAAAGCCCTGAAGCCTGAAACCCCTAAAGCCCTAAAGCCCTGAAGCCTTAAACCCCTAAAGCCCTAAACGCCTAAACCCCTAAAGCTCTGAACCCCTAAACCCCCAGCCTTAAGTCTGCGAAGGTCTGAAAGGGGCGAGGCTCGCCACGACATGCCGCATCCTTTGATGAGCTTCACCCTAAGGGCCCAAAGGACCTAATAATCATATACTTGGGTTACGGATGGTAGTTTTGTAGGTTAGTATTCAGAAGAGTGTATGATTATTAGGTTCTTGGACCCCTTAGGGTCAGGCATACGAACAGCGAGGATCATTGTTGGTACTCTCATTGCTACCGTTTGTGTGTTTCTGCTACTGGTCTTTGGATTTCTGCAAGTATCACTTGTTTTTTTTGATATTCTTAATGGCTAGCTTCATATTTACGACTACTATTGTTTTGTGACCATTATTGCTGTTGCTTTTGCTATTGCCACTCGTACTTTTTTATTGGAACCATTGTCGTAAGTATTACGGCTATAACCATGGTCGGTGCTGTTACCATTGCAACTGTTGCTGCTGTTATCATTCTGAGTATGGTTCTCATTAATTCATACCTTCGTCTTCACGCTGTGCTGGCTATACAGTATCTTTGCTTGATTCCTACACTTTTCTGATGATGAGTATGATGAAGGTTGTTACTTTCACTGCTGTTTCTGCAATGCTCCTTCTTTGACAGGATGCAGGGTGGAAGAAGAGAGAGGTTTTGTGGTTTCGCAAAACTTCAGTGAAACGCACGCGCCCCAACCCCTAAACCCCTGAACCCTGAACCCCAAACCCTGAACCTTAAACCCCTAAACCCCTAAACCCTAAACCCCTAAACCCCTATAAAGCCAAACCCCCATGGCTTCTGCCAGGCTCGTGGCGCTGGAGGCTTGCCTGCCCGCACCGGCCGAGGAGGCTCCGCAGGAAGGGCTTCTGGGCTTTCGGGCCTTTGTGCTTTGGGGCTTCCCTAAACCCTGAGCCCTAATCCTTCAAAGGCCGTCTTCTTGCGGCAAGCCCTAAAAACAACCCAAATCCCAAAACCCCAACCTCAAAAATCCCAAACCACAAGGCCCTACCACAGCCTGAAGCCCTTGATTGTTGGACGACTGTCGTGCCGTAAAGATCCCAAGAGGGATTGTAGCTGCTTGCTATCATAGAGCTACCAAGATGATGATACAAATCCTGCATGACCCATAGTAAGGAATATACCCATAACTCCCATAGTTTAGGACCCTTAAGGTAATGCTTTGGGTTTATATCGTCAACAGTAGTAACCTTATACAAACCCCTATAGGCAGCCTCGTTGATCCCTTTCAGGCACCCAAGGTCACCCTGATTTCTATCATCAACAGTACCAAGATTTCCGCGATATCCTTTGAAGGGTACCCTCAAGGGTTCTATAATAGGGTCCCTTTAAGCAAAACTGTAGGGTTTGTTTAAGGGCTCCTTCAACAGTACCAAGATGTGCCCGAAGAGCTAAGCTCTGCTGGCTGGCGTTTCACGACGCTTGGCCATCCTGGCATCTTCGGGGTTTTAGGGGTTTAGGGGTTTAGGGTTTAGGGGTTTAGGGGTTTAGGGGTGCAGGGTTTAGGGGTTTAGGGGTTCGGGGGTTTAGGGTTTAGGGGTTTGCGGTTTAGTGTTTAGGGGTTCAGGGTTTAGGGTTTAGGCTCTAAAGGCTTTTCCCCGAAACCCTCAGCCAACCAGAACCTCATGTTGTACTGTCAGTATGCAATCTATATTAGACCTTACATTAGGAACCTGCAAACCCCTAAACCCTAAAGCCCTAAGTAGGTTGTAGCAGGTTGAAGTAAACTTAAAGCTCAAACCCATGACTCCTAAAGCTCTGGACCCTTCTCCATTCTTCCAAATCCTAAACCGTATAAACCCTGAACCCCCAAAAACCCTAAACCCTAAACCCTAAGCCCTGAACTAGCCCCAAAAACCCTAAGTTGAAAAAGATCTGCTGACAGGCCTGGTGTGTGCAGGAGACCCCGGCACAAGACCAGGCAAGTCTGTTTCCTGTTTCGGTTGAGCTTTTAGGGCTTAGGCTTCAGACTTTAGAGTTCAGGGTTCAGTGTTTAGCGTTTAGGGGTTTAGGGTTCAGTGTTTAGCGTTTAGGGTTCAGGGGTTTATTTGGAGAAGCTTTGTCCCAGGTAGCATTAGGGAGACCCCTTAAAAAGGGGACCCTTCTAAACCCTCCTTTGTGGCTCTCTTAAAAGGGACCTCATGTCCCCAGAAAATCCCCCTAATCCTAACTCCTACTTTTGCGGTTGAGTTCCAAGGTCTTAAGCTTCTCTTAAAGGGGACCTTATTGACAGGGTCTATATCCCCAAAGGGTCCCCCTAATCCTAGCTCCTATTCCCTACTTTTGCGGTTGAGTTCCTAAGGTTTCAAGGTCTTAAAGCTTCTCGGATCTCGGAGCCCTGTCAGGGCTTCGAGTTGTTAGGTTTTCGGTTTCACGGCTTAGGGTTTATGGGGTTTATAGGGCTTAAACTGGTTTAGGGTATAGGGGGTTTAGGGTTTAGGGTTTTCGGTTTCATGGATACTTGAAGTAAATATCATATGTATAGTAACCAGAAACCCTCGTTACTTAGTCTCATGATCCTTTAAGTAGGTCCCTGCTACAAGTAGGATACAACGGGGCCAAGACACCTTCAGCGTACAGCCTCAGCCCTAGAGAGGCGAGAACCTTAACCCTCGAACCGGTCTCTGGCTCTGAGCTCCTTCCATGTCACCTTTTTTTTTGGGAGCGGAACGCAGGCCATAAACCCTAAACCCTAAACCCAAAGGCCCTAAACCCTAAAACCTAAGCCCGACGCCCTAAACCCTAAACCCTAAGGCCCTAAACCCCAAACCCTAAACCCTAAACCCTAAACCCTAAACCCTAAACCCCAAGCCCCAAACCCTAAACCCCTAAGCCCTTAAAAGGTAGCAGAGCTTCCTGAAGAGACCGCGGAGTCGCGGAAGCTGCGGCAGCAGTGTGAGGACCCGCTGCGACGGTTCTCAGCGTCACAGGTCACAGAGTCCCTCTGAGTAGTTCTGGGCGACGTCTGGATTTCGGATGTAAGGCTTTAGGGTTTAGTGCTTTCGGGTTTAGGGTTTAGGGGTTTAGGGGTTTAGGGGTTAGGGGTTTCGGGTTGAAGGTTCATCTTTTTTCAGGCTCTTTTGCCACATACTCTACACCTAGACCCTGCATTTCTGGTTTGGACCTCGGTGCGAGGGCCGCGGCCTACTTTGAGGTTGGAAGCAGTACACATGAGGCTTACTATGGGTTGTATAGGGTCTTGGTGGAGCATTGCGGGGCTTAATATCGGGGCTTTAATCATCAGAATAAGGTTCAGTGTTTCTTCATGTCAGGGATACACTCTGGAAGAAAATCTAGCTTGTTTTAAATTGGGGCTTCCATTGGTTTCCGGGGGGGGGCAATCGAGGTTTGGATCGGGGCTTTAGGTTATGGGTTGTTAGTACTCGAGAGAGATTCGATGATAAGGAATTGGTTGATTGGCGTCAGAAGTACTTACACCTACAGCCACCTCATATATAATTTGACAGACAACTAAGTACCTCTGTAAATAGCTAGCAGCTAGCAGGTCCCACACGTGGCCTAACTGGCGCTACTTTATGTCCTGAAATCGGTGCCCTCAGCCCCACACCCCAAATCGTAAACCCTAACTTGTGGCTCGTGCAGGATGCGCTCCGAAGCGTGACAGAGGTTCGCCAGGAGTTGGCAGCAGCAGGCCACGTCGGTTATTTGCACCCATAGGGTAGAGCTTAATTAAACGCTTCACGTCGTCCGCCTCGGCCCGGCTATGCTTGAAGCAGGTGCATTGTTTCGGAAGCAACGGGTAGGTCACGCAGGTGAGGTCTTGAGAGAATGAACGCTTTGCTTCATAATGTTTTGAAATGTTGGTATTTGTTTTCATGCTGAGCCCCTGAGCAATAATCCCACGCGAAAGGTGGCACACCCCCTGCACTATTCCAAAGACATTACTATAATCATCGCCACACTTCTCACTGGTCTCGTACGAAGTGCAAGACACAGCCCAGAATTCCAGGCTTTGGCATCAGCTTCACGAATGATGTAAGCTAGCCCGTCTTGCGGCCGGGGGTCAGGGTGGAAGGGCAAACGGGGATGTTCTGCTCTGACCGCTTCGGCCGGGGCCGAGGCGAATTATACCCCCAAGCCTCACACTGTAAGCTCTTAAACCCGACACTCTTAATTCGAAAGCCCAAAACCCACCACCGGTAGACCCTCCTGAAGCTGGCCAGGTGTGCGAGAGACACGACTTCGCGAGGCTCTGTGGTGTGGGGGACTGCCTTCTGGGAGCTGCGTGTGGATTGAAGAAAGGATAAACCCTTAGAGCCAGGGTGTCTATCAGTTTTGGTTTCTGGATGCTGTCTCAAAATGAGGGTCCTGAAATCATGGACGTACCTCTTGAGATGTGGAGAGATCTTTCTAAGAAATCGGATCGCTGGGCACCCTGCAACTCCTTTCTCAAAAACCGCTTCAAGGCCTTCATATATAAGCCGTATAAGATCCGGTGAAAGCCTGAAACAGTATGAGACGCCCTAAACCCTAAACCCTCAACCTTAAGCCCTAAACCCTAAACCCGAAACCCTAAACCCTAAGCCCTAAACCCTAAACCCTTACAGACTTTCAGTACCCTTAAAAAAAACCCTACAAGGGACCTAAAAACCCCTAAAGCCTTAAAGGGTTCTTCTCCAAGGCGCTGCGCTGCCGCTCCGCTGCGCTGCTGCGACTGGCGCCTGGACCTTGGGCTGTGGAGTTGGGACTTTCCGAAAATTAGGGGTACCTTAACAAAGGGTTTAGGGTTTTCGGGTTTTAGGGTTTTAGGGTTTAGGGTTTAGGGTTTAGGATTTAGCGTTTATCCTTATTTTAGGGTCCCTGTAATAAGGATCCTACTATTTAGGGTACTATACTAGAGTCTCCTATTTTCGGAAATCCCCAGTTCGCTCTCCGCAGCAGACAGGCAGAGAAACCTAGGGTTTAGGGTTTAGGGGTACCCAGAAACTCCAATGTCCCTTAATTCAGGAATATACCTTAAATTATAATGGGGTTCCTACTTTTATTTGGGGTATATTTCTTAATTAAGGGATATTGGAGTCTCTGGGAACCTCAAACCCGAAGCCTTAAACCCCAAACCCTCGCTCTAGGGTTTGGGGCGCTTTAGGGTATGATTGGTCGAAGGATCTTCATGGTTAGGGGCTCGTCTGAGAGTTTAGTCTTTAGGGTATAGAGGTGTTTTAAAAGGCAGCGGGGCTTCTAAATTGCACCAAAGCATCATACACCGTATCGTCTCATTTTATACCATATTTACATGATGGAGTCTATACTGCCCTAAACTTAACGTTTCCGTGCTGCCTGTCACAGTCGATGACGCCTGCATTGCATAGCATTTCATGAGTGATGATCTCTGATGGCTTCATTCGTTCTTGGATGGCGTTGCTGGCAGCTTATCTAACCCATGTCCGACTGACAGCAGGACTACAGTACTTTGTTGCCCGGGATGGTGCCAGAGTTCATGGGCAACGCAGTGAGGATTTCAGTGAGGATCGCTGATCGCACACCGGGTGGCCGCGGACTCCATTTTCTCCAACTCTTCTTACGTCCTCCCGTTCTAGGTCGACGTCTTGGGTTTATACGGCTTACGATTTAGGATATCTGGCATAGTACCCTAAACCCTAAACTTGCCCTAAACCCTAAACTCTAAACCTTAAAGGCACCCCAAAGCTCTTTGTCGGCTGCAAGGTCACACCTTACGAAGGCGAAGCAAGGCGGCGACGACATCAAGCCGCAGCTCGCCGAGTTGCTTTCAGAGAGGTCCTTACAGGCGGTTTAGGGCTTAGGGTTCAGGGCTTAGGGTTTAGGGTTTAGGGTTTAGGGTTCAAGGTTTAGGGTTTAGGGTTTAGGGTCATTATAATCACAAGTACAGTGCATGATAGCATGGTAAGTTTGTGTCATAAATGTAGGCAAAGCAGATGAGAGTACAGTAGACCTTAAAGACCCTATTCTAATTATGAAGGCTCCTACTTTGCCCAGAGACTTCAACGCCCCGTGTTGCTAAGGAAGCAAAGGATTCGTCCTGCCCAAACAGGGTCATGCAAACGCAAAGCCATCCCATTGCTTTGGCCGAGTTGGGCTTAGTCTGGGGAGGTGGTGTGCGTAGTAGTAGGGTAGGCAACGGAAACCTTATTTCAGGGGTCCCTCATAATGGTTATAGAATAGCATGCCCCGAAACCCTTTTCTAATTATAAAGGCCCGTAAATTACGGTCCCAAAAACAGTCCGTGTATGTGGGCAGATCGTTTGGGGTTTGCAGCTTTCTTTCAACCGGCCATTTACCCGACTGCCTGTTTGCTGAGTGGTCGATGATACTTCGGCTAATCCGAGCTTGCTTCGAGATGGCAGGTGCTCTCGAATGTACTGTAGCCCCCAAGGATTTTAGCACCAATGACTGCCAGATTGTGGGTGATTGGATGCTTCATCGATGCTTGCCGGTGTCCATATCGCACATGTCTGCATCGGATAATGCTGATGCTTCGGCAATGAGGAGAGGCCGAGCTGGCACAACCTAGTTGAGACACGTGATGAGTTCTGGCACAGACAAGCATCTCTATAACCATTATAAGAAACCACTGAAATAAGACTGTTTTTGGGATTGTAGTTTACGGGCTTTTATAATTAGAAAAGGGTCTTTTAGATTTCAGAACACCTCGATTCTCTCTTTACATGGTCGAGTCGAGATTCGTTTTCATATCCGTCTGCACCCAACGAGGCCCTGCCCTTGAACCGATGGAGGACACGGAATCCAGACCTATCAAATCGACAAAAGACCCCTAAACCCGTAAACCCTAAA